CTACGGCAGGACTACTGAAAAAAGACAACTAACTCTAAACTACAACAACAACTTCACCTCAAATCAGCTGTAAGGTGATTGAGAAGCTGCTTGTTGATTCCAAACAAATTAAGTATAATTTTAAAAGCAGCAGACTATTTATGATATTTGTAACAGAAACATCTTATTTGCACTTAAGCAGCAACTTTTCATACACCTTTCAATTTTTATGACATTCAGGAAACTCACCAGACTGTTTATTCCACTTGACACATTTGTCAGCTATGAATGATCAATCAGTAAGTCAATTACTGAAGACATTAAGCAAACTTTTATAGATTGAAATTCAGTCTTAATCAAAACTCTTACTAATTTAATTTCAATTTCATATATTTAACTGTCTTCATAGGCAGACAGTTTAAGATTAGTCAATCTTTCATTCTCATCTGATCTAGATTCTCAAACAGCAGATTTAATCTCAGTAAAATAGGATTAAAAAAAGATAATCTCCAGGAAGCTCTAGCAGTATTATGCTTCTATTAGTCACAATTTGTAACAAAACAGGTATATGCAGCATAAAAGCGGTGGTATTTATTAATACATTTATACAATGAGACATTGAGATGTTTGTTGAAAAGGCTCAACTTTATCCAAACATTAAGGTTCCACACCCTCATCTAAAAAACACTACAACATATGTGCAGAGCATGACGGCCTTATTACCGTAAATCTGCTGGGTTAGCTGTTTTTGGGATATTGAGCTAGCTTTCTTCGTGAAGGCATTCGTAGTTCTTTTAGATATTATTAAAATTCCTCTCTTAATGAAGGTCTGAATAAATAGAAAAATGCTGAACCATTGCCACAATCTCAGTCTTATCAGAAAGTCTGAACAGACTGAGCTTTAATCAAGCCTTACTGCTGCAGGTATGTTTGCAGATTTTAGCTTATTTCCCTGCAGACTCTAAAGCAAGGTTGGTAACGGAATAACTCCAGAGAATTTCCTAATCTTTATCTTTTAGGTTTTCTCTGACAGGTTCAAAACTATTTAGACTCCTGCGAGAATTAGTAGTACAGTAATCTTCCTTTTACAATAAAACGGTCTTTCTGACTGGAAGCAATATCAAATATGAATCTGATGTGGAATCTGTGCAGGGGAAAAGAAAAGATTTTTTCACATATCCATTACAGTAAAAATGTCCATAGCTGTTATAATTTTTTTTACTCTCCAGATACAGAGTGATATATTGTAAAAACAATATACAGTACAATATTCTATCAAATTTTTTTTTCTATCTGTTATTTGAATACACTTTGGTGCACATTGTGTGAACACTTCTACTATAACCTTTGCTGCTGTAACACCACAATTTCCCCATTGTGGGACAATAAAGAGATTTTCATCACCATATTATCGGTGGTAACATGAAAAAAGCTTGTTAAAGGAGACACTTGGCTGTTGCATAAAAAAATATTTTCCCATGAATTATTCTGAAAGGTATAATTACTATTTTGACAGTTTTAATTAAATATATTTAATGTTTCTTTTCTAATCAGAAAAAAAAACTAGACAGAATTTCACATATTTTCAATATACTGTAAACCTGCTATGGGTATGACTAATTTAAGGCTCAAATGTCTAAACAACAGTGTTCCTTCCCCTCTTCTAATTAGGAGGGAAAAAAATAACAGTAATATTTTACAAATCTGAGTTGTGCGATGGTAGGAATCCATGTTGTTGTAACATTGTTCACTATTGTGATGACAATATCAGACACATAAATCCACATTTCTAACCTGTCTTTATGATGCTTCTAAAGGTGTCTGTAGTTAGACATTTAATTTTGCTTACTAAAGAAATATTAAGGGATGCATACTAAAGATGTAAAAGACTATTTGCATGCAAAGCGTGAAGCCAATAAAAATTGTATATGATTACTAAAAATCAATTTTCTGCAATAAGTTGCATTTTTAATTTTATGAAAATATACCTTAAATGCAAAGCTGCAAAATGCCTGCTTCCGTGACTGACATTTATTTAAAACAGTACATTTAAATGCATTTAGAACCTAATACATCCCATTGCCATCCCTAGTAAAGAAATCTGCTTCTGCATTGAAAAATTATTTTGCATATATTTTTTTTGGTTATTTTCACATCTTAAACTCTTCCAGCGGTGCTTACAGAGGTATCTGCATCTGTATTTGTGTATCTAAATTAGTGGGTACTATAAGTTGACGGTTTATGACTCCACCCTTCTTCTGCCCCATTGATTTCACATGACAAACATCAATGTGTGGCTGAACAAACTGAGACAATGCAAAACCCATTAAGAAAATAATATTACTCACAGCTTTCTGGTACTGTCCCCTTTAAACTGCATCTACTTAATTTGATCAAAGGTTTCCAACATGCATATTTATATAAGAATGGTCAATAATGTCAGTAGATAATTTATAGTTAAAAAAAGCATCTCTAAATAAATGGAGACATGCAGGATTCTAACTAAGACTCACAGAATAAACATTTCTCTATGGATTATGAAGGATTGGAAACCAAACAACAAATATACAAAGATGGCCGATAAAAATGTTGCTCTTTCAGCCCAAATAAACAATCCTCTGACTCAGTAGTTTGTTATTCTTTTTAATGGATGAATGAAAGTGCTGTGGCCAAATAGGACCTGTTTGCATGTGTTGTTGTTTTTAACTCCTCTCACCTGTTTGAATCATATTTATACCTAAATCTTAAGACATATCCGCAGCCTAAGTCATATTTAACTGAGCTGAATGGGAAAATGTGTCCCTTCCTGCACAGCAGGTTTTTCTTTCTTCTCAATGATCTGCAGTTTTTGTTAGTTGATGCAGCCAAACAAAAGCTTTGTAAGATATTCTAAGATCCAGCTGACTTCTAAGTTAAGCAGTTGGTTGACATTATCTATATTTAAGTAGATAAAAAAAAAGTTTATTTACAATCCAACAACAACAGAAAAAAAAATCCCCATGAAAAGCACAGGACTTCCTTAACAGATATTGCAAGGAAATACACTGCTTGTACTTTTCTATGAAGCACATCATGCAAAACATGCTTTGTTTTGTTCATGTTCTTAGTGTTAATGTATTTAATTGAAAAGGAAACATCTGATTTTATAGCGTCTGATCTGCCAAACCCAGATGAAAGCAGATCAAATGAACCGTTGCTGATCTTGATCTCCAATCAGTTAGTTGGCAAATTGCAGTGATAAGGAGTAAAATGAGGAAGTGAACACAGAAGCTGCTACAAATTAAATATACGTTTTACACTACAGCTAAAAGAACACACACAAGAGGAGAGTAGTGAGCTCAGGCTATTTTAGCAGACTAAACAAAGTTTATAAAAAGATTTTAGCTTTATTGCACCCAAAATATGCAATCATTTTGTCTTCAGTCACATCATTTCCAAAGGTTCTAAAAATAGCAGAAATTATAACCTGATCTGGATTTTTCAATTATTATTACAGGATAATATGAATCGATTATATGAGGCAGAGATTTTAACAACGACAGCAGATCTAAAAGGTCTCTGTAAAAATGATATCTCTTAAAATCACCTACAGATCTGTGAACAGTTTGAGACTAAATGCATTTCCTCCAATCCTCTAGACTCTATAGCCCATTAGAGACCAGCTTAACATATCTGAATGGGCTGGTCTAGACTGAGGCCAGCGGGGGCCAGTGCCCCTGTTGATCATGTCCTGGCCCCTGTTATGGCCCCTGTACTGAAGACATAATACTCAAAGAAATTCTAATGATGATATGCGCTGGAAGAGACATGGTTACTGATAGGTCCTTTGGATCTATTTATTTTTTTCCTTTACAAATTCTGTTTTACTTATTATCTAAAAACAATAAGGTGTTAGCTTCAGTGGTATGTTTCATTTGTTAAATGTTTTTTTTTTCAAAACAAATAAAATAATACTCTCATATTTACAGCTGAATTTATCAGTTTTTCTTGAGTTCTAATTCAGATTATATATAAAAAAATGTAATTTTAACTTAAATTAAGTCAAGTGAATGTATATTGACCTAATAGGACATATAAATTTAATTAAACCTAATTGAACAGAAATTTCACTTGATACAGCTATATTAGTATATTTGAATCCCTTCCCCTGTTTTTTATTTCATGCTTTTCTGTGCCCCCCCCATGAAAACACACTGGCCCCCTCCTGGCCGCCTGGTACATTTGGTCTAGAACCGCCACTGCATATTTAGATATCTGCTCTCTATTTATAATATAGGTCAATCTTCAGTATAAACAGTAAGATTCAGAATGAAAACAACACATCATCCCCAGGTTCCTCCATCCATCTCCACCTCTCACAACATTTTTAAAACCTCATGACTCAACCAGATGCGTGACCAAACTAGTTCAACACTGAGGCAAGCTAGATTCCACAAACTGCCAGAGGGGGAAACAGACATTCACTGAGATGCTTTAGCTGTTGAACTTCCTCCACTGATTAAAACACCTTCCAACATTTGAACTTCCAGGACCCAATATGGGAATTTCCATTGTTTTTTGCAGCTTACTTTTAAAATCCTTTAAATGTAGAACATTGAGGAAGATGATAGGATAATTTGCACATATGGTTCTTTATTCTATTATATATAGAGCAATATACTACAGGTTCTAGCCCATAAACTTACAGCAGATATAGGAGCCTATTTATCACTGCTATACTCATAAAATGTATTAATAATCCATAATAAATGAAAGATAAACAAAGGGCCTGCTAAAATGGTTATATTCATATATATTAAAAGTTTTTACAGTAAATGTGTTTATTACTATCTAACAGTATGTTAGGAACATATATTGTAATGATCAAAAATATGAAGATTTGTCTTTATTTTAAGCTGTATTTCATAATTGTAATCATTAAACCCTTATTTTCATTTATTTGTCCATGATTTCATTAAATTAGAAAGCAATAATTGCAATAATTTGATATTAATGAATAAAGTGATGAGCTTTCTGCTTACATGCGGCTGTTGAAGCTGTCCAGTTCCTCGAACATATCTCCTCCATCTTCTTCTTTTTTATTCTTTTTCTTCCTGAGCTTTAAGGACAGGAACCGCTTTGACTTCTTCTCTTTCGGGGAACAGGGGGTCTCATCCTCTGGATGCGCTCCCCCCTCCCAGGGGCGCAGGGGCCCCGGGTCCCCCTGCAGAGAGCTGGGATCATCCCGGTGGATGGTCGCGGCTCGTTTTAGCTCCTTTTTCTCCTTTTCTTTTTCCTTGTCTGCGGATTTTTGTTTAAAGAAACCCCTCAGCGTGCCGGTCTTACTCATGGTGCTGAGAGCGCGGAGATGAAAACCTGAGCGGAGCCGTTTGGCTTTAAGTGGCCCTGGAGACTGACGCACCGGGATAACCTGCAGAGCGGGTTAGCGCAGCGCCCTGGAAGGACCTGCCCACACACCCGCTGCCGCGCGCCTGCAGGTGAGGAAGAGCAGCGAGGAAGATGCTAAACAACATTCAACAAAGACTTTTGCAACTTATTTATTCTCATCGTCACCTTAACTTTTCTGTATCTTCATTTGCTTGTTTGATAACCGGATTGATCAACAGTCATTTACCAGCCAAGGACCAGCCAGGGGCCCATCAAGTAAAGTGGGGACATTTTGAATTGTCACAGTCTTGGTTCTGTTATGTTTTCTTTTGAGTATTCAGTTTAACTTTGCTCCATGTTTTCTAGTTTTATTGGTTTAATTCTTATTTTGTTGTGTTATGTTTAGGTTTTTATCTGTTGCCCTCTTGTGTTGGTCTCCTTTTTCCCTAGCTCCTTAGCAGTGATCCCTACTAAGTAAGGAAAGTAGCTATTGGCTGTGCTCTAAGTCACTATAAGTCGCTGAATGACGTCATTGCCTAATTTGCTCAGAATATAAAAGAACTCAGAATATATAGAACTACTTTTTCTGTCCATTAATATTTATTTATTTTACTTTTTATTATTTCAATTAATTTATTTTATGGGTGGGCTGCTCAGTGGTACAGTGGGTAGCACTGTTGCCTTGCAGCAAGAAAGTTCTGGGTCAGATTCCCGGCCCGGGTTCTTTCTGCATGGAGTTTGCATGTTCTCCCTGAGCATGCATGGGTTCTCTCCGGGTACTCCGGCACAGTCCAATAACATAACTGTTAGGTTATATCTCTAAATGCTCCTTAGGTGTGAGTGTGTGCATGAATGGTTGTTTGCCTCGTTGCCCGTAGACAGCTTGAGAAAGGCACCAGCACCCCCACACCGACCCCCACAAATACTAACCCTCCTCCTTTACCTGAGCTTGGGATCGGCAAAATGAACCATAAAGAGACACTCCTGCTGAGCTTGCGCTCTTCCCAAAAAGTAACTTAACGGTTATACCATAATTATTCAGTTTTTATTTCAAATGATCACACACACACACAAATCAATCAATAACCTAAAGAATAAGTATATGTATGATAGATAAAATTACAACATTATAATATCCAACAAATTCAAATTGAGTGAAAATGTGATGAGTGAAAAATCAAAAGCAACATAGCTTTGCACTCAAATATCAAGGTGAAGACCACAAATTTGAAAGGCAACACTCTATAAATCAATGTATGTAAACTTCAAAGATAAGTACCCTGAGAATATTACAATTACCAAATGTTTTGCAAATGTTATGGCACAAAATCCAGACCAGCGTAAAGCTGTGCAGTTAAAAGAAAAACTTAAAATATCGAAGAGTCGTTGAGTAGAAATTTCTGTTTTTCTTTTGAAAAACGTTTTTATAACTTCATTTTAGGAGTAGGCCAAGTTGGAAAAGATTGCCTTCTATTTCCACATAGAGATCTAAATCACCCAAACATTCCCAATGTTGTTCAAAACGTAACTCTTCTGGACTTCCAGGCAGCAAAAGAACCGATGGTTTAATAATAATAACTGAAATTCAAAGTAATCTCACAAAGGATAAATTCATTTCTGGATGTAACCCATCCCCTTAAGGAGCAGCGGGCTGCCATTGTACGACGCCCAGGAAGCAATGTGGGGTTTAGGGTTTTGCTCAGGGACCACAGACTGTGGGGATCAAACTGGGTACTTGCACCCTTCTCAGAGCACAAGCGTACTGCTCTAACCCGCTATGTCAACACTCCCCCCAATACATGCATTAAATTCTTTTTTTTTTTTTGTTCATTCTGTAATTTTTTGCCCTGTCCAGTGAATAGTGCTGCAGGCTGCTGCCTGGGTCGCCTGACAGCAAAGCTGGCTTTGATTTCACGAGTTTTCTCTTACATTTTGATGGCTACAGAAAAGCATTTACATTCACTTCTCAGTGTAGTCCTTTCAACATCTCTAAATAAGTATGAGATGACTATGTCACTTTGGTTTCCATCTGAAATGCAAAAAGTGAAAATCGTTTAAAAGAAAAGGACTTAACTACTTTACTTATGTTCTCATGTTCTATGTAGTCCAATAGCTGTAGCTCATATACCGGACACATTTGCATGTAGGCCTCTTGAAATGCTGACTAGAGACACAATACAAATAATTTTATTCTACTAATTATGTCAACTATGAATGAGCTTTACATTATTCTTAATATTGTGGCAATCTTGTCTCTTGGCACACGTTTTAACAAATGTTTTTTTCATTCCACTCAATTTTCCACTAATATATTGCAATAGAGTGCTTTACAAAACCAGCTTCTATACCAATGACCTATTGTAGCTGCTGTGGGTGTCAGGGACTGTCTGCTGGACTACTCATGGTGAACTACAAAAGTCCTGTTTAATATCTAATTTTCTTAGCAACCAGATTCCGTGCTTTAATCATAACTGATTGCAAAAAATATAAATATGCAAACATAAAAGAAGATGATAGAAATAGTCCCTAGATCACAGGGACTAAAATAATGATGCGTTATTTACACAGTATTTTGGAAAGATGTGTCAAATGTTTTTCTCCTAGGAGACTACATCCCTGAATACATGAACCCTTTGTTGTGGTCCCACCATAAAATAACTGCAATACAAATTGTTTTTTGGTCCACAACAAATCATGCCCACTTCACTTGCAAATCTACAGGTATTTTTTTTAGGGGAATAAAGCAAATACTTAGTTACAAATGAAGATTAAAGAGGAGCAGAAAGTCAGTGAAGCAAACACCAAGGATCCGATATAAAGAGTCCTGCAGCAAACTTTTAGTGTTCTGGAAGAATCAGGCTGCAAGTCTGTAATGAGTAACCAGTGCTGAAAAGGGCAATTCAAGAAAATGTTAAGTACTGAGGACATCTAGAGGTAGTGAATGGCAACAGACCCGAGAATTTAGAAACATAAACTAAAAAAAAAACAAGTTAAAGTATGATTATTTTTTGAGATTTATAAGATGTGGAGTAGTACATACATTTAGAGATAGTTGATTAAATTTTAGATGGCATCTGTCCAACCAGGAGGGGAATGCAGGAATGATTTTCTGTTCCTCTTGTGTTCTGGAGTAGGGTCTGCCCTGGGGTTTCCATGCACGTGTATTTTCCAAAACACCTTCATAGTAATAATCTTCTTGTCAGATGTCTAAACCAGTTTAAACTAATTGCTTCTCATGTTGAGACTGTAGCTTTATTCCAGTCTTTGTGAATGCAGAGAATCCTCTTTTAAAATCTATGTATAGTGGTCAGAATCAAAAGATTCTGGGTTCTAAAAGCATGGTTGGATGGGTCAGCTGCAATCATACTTGCTTGCCACTGGCCTCTGGAGGTGTACAGTATCTGAAGAGGTGATCAACAGTCATCATACCTTTTTCTTAATGAAACAAATCATAATTCTCATTAGTACACATGTAAGATTCTTTATTGATGAATTAAAAAACTTTATTGTTCTTGAAGAGGAATTTATTGGCAGCACAGTTCAAAAACGTCCATAAGCACAACGAACATGCATTCAAAAAACCTTAAAATAGTTTTAATCTAAAAAAAAAAAGATAAATTATTTAAAAACAAAAAAGCAAGGTGATAGTAGAACTTGTACAACTTTTGCATCGGACTTGTACCTCACCTCCTAGTTCTGCTTTTCCAGGACTGGGTCTTCTCTGGTAAGATCTTAGAAGAGATTCCCAGATGTCCGTCTCCCAGACACCACCTGCAGCTCTACTGGGGGATGCCAGAGGCTCGCTTTAACCAACAGAGACATAGGCTTTCCAGCATGCCCTGGGTTGTCAACTGGGCCTCCTCCCGGTGGGACATGCATGGAACACATCTCAAGAGAGGTGTCCAGGGGGCATTTGAAAAAGATGTCCCACCCACCTCAGTCGACCTCTCGATATAGAAAGCTGTTAAGAAAGCTCATTTCAGGAGCTTGTATCTGAGATCTCTGATTCTTTCAGTCATAATCCAGATTTCATGGCCACAGGTGAGAGTACAACCAACTCTCTTCACCACAACAGACAGATCGGTGAGGCTGCTGTTATAATGTGGATGTTGTACGGATCTGCCTATCAATCTCCAGCTCCATTTAACCTTCATTTGTGAACAGGGATACAAGATACTTGAACTCCTCTGCTTAAGACACGAACTCTCCTCCAAGACTAAAGGGGGCAAGCCTTCTTTTTGCTTGCCTCAGATTTGGAGGCAGTTTCAAAAATGGTATCTTAAATCTATTTTACCTGTACCTTGGAATGGAGAGCAAGACTATCAACAAGATGAGAAAAAAGATTTACTAGATGTCGTAAATAGGCCATTTGAGAAATATGTCTTATTTGGGGATTTTCTGTGTTATATGCCTTATTTTTGCCATAGGGGCATTTGAGTTTGTTCATGTATTTGGGATGAATTGTACATTGTTTCCTTAGTGTTTCTATATTTCGCCAATAGGGGTCAGTATCGTTACATTCTTGGAGAAGTGGCAGGTCTAAAGAACAGTGGTGCCAGATTAGGCAATTGGGCGGGTTTCTTTTGGATTTTGAGGGTAAAATTGCTTTGGGTTGGTGGAGATAATTTGGGCTGGTTCAGAGTCAGATTGGCGGTTTTTGAGTTAGAGTATTAAAACACACCAATCATTCATCGTTACTGGTTCATAGCAAAGTCTCCCTTACCTTTCTCCATCACTGATTAGCCCCTTGAACCCTACGGACCCACCGGCGGGTCCAGCTGCTACATGACCTCGTAGTTTTACCAAACCCCCAGTATTGATGTAAAAAACATATTTGGCACAGTTTGGTGTCATTTATGGATAAATGTGCCAAAATGGCCTCTCCGCCTAAGAAATTTCTCACTAATACCATTCTAAAATAAATATGATTCATCTGATTGAGTCCAAATTTGGTATATTTTTACACAACATTTAGATTTAAAAGTCTGTATTACTTT